GGTGTATGTATGGATTGTAAGAAGAGTTGTATGAGCCCCAATAAAATGATTTTCCAGTTGGTTTACATAGAGGGGAGTTAAAGATGCCTCGAACAAGGACACGGCTAGCTGCTACTGTGCACTGAAGGCAGCCTCTCTCTAGGAACAAACAAGGTCTGTTCTCCTCGCTCAAGGGCAGCCCACTCCCCTCTGCATGCCCCCAGTCCTGGTCTTGGGTTACTCCCCCAGTGAGCTCAGGGACATCTAAGGTAAGACACTGCCCACCATGTTTCACAGGTGATTGATGGGGTTTGCATGCCCCCAAGACCATATAAACCCATTGGAAAATCCATGTGCTGTCTTTTTCCAGATCCTGATTTTTGGAAAGGTGAGCCCTTGCAGGCTTTGTCTGGCTCTTGATTTTTCCTGACTTGCACAGCCGCTCTCACGATCCTTTCGGTCATGAGGGAGTCTGGACCTCACAGCCTTTAGGTGAGTAGCCGGGTTACAAACTGGTTACACCACCCAGGCTCCTAATCGCCCAACCAAAGTCCTTTACAAGCAAACTAAGGACTTCCATCCTGTGGTCATTCGCATTTTCCTTCGTGGGGGCATCTCATTCTCATTTTAAACAGGGCCAGGAAGCCCACGCCAAGGGTGCCAGGACATGTCTGCAGTCAGCCCTCCATGGGGAGAAGCCCTTTGTCTGCGCCCACCACGCATGCAGTCCCTCCACAGGGAGAATAGGGCCCCTAACTAGGTGCGGCTGTCCCTTGGTGATCCAAGAGGTGTCCAGAAAAGAAAGTGCTGCCTTTGTGACTCATGTCCTCCTCCTTCCTTAGAAAGCCAGAGGAGAACACTTTGGTGAGAGTAATTTCCAAGTCTAAAAAACTTGGAAAGAGGCGAGTTTTATTCCCTCTTCGTGCAGAGAGCATCTGGGCTGGAGAGACTGGCGACTTGGACATAAAACAGAAGTCTCTCCGTCAGTTGCCAGTGCTTAACTGTGAAACCCGGGACTCTGGTGAGAACGATGCAAAAGCTCATGTTAGGGCACAGCAGTCACGCAGGCTTTCTATCTCTTTGAACTGAACTGTAGTTGATTGCCTTTCCACTCTGCCAGCTATCAAAGACTTTGTTTCAACAAGCCTGTAACCTGTAGGAGGGACTTCCCATCACACTTTTCTTCATGGGTAGACCCTTTGGCTAAATGACCTGCTGCCTCGCCGTGAGAGTCAGGGGACGAGAAAGATTCAACGAGCTTTGAAGACAGGGGTGGGGGTTGCACCCCCAGCCCAAAGTGCAAGCAGCCTCTAGAAGCTGGAGAGAGAGAAGAAATGGGTTCTCCCGTGGAGCTCCCAGTAGGAATGGCATGCTGCTGCCACAGCTTTAACTCAATGCAACACCTGGGACCATCGGGACTGTAAGAGAACACAGTTATGTTGTGTTCAGCCACCTCGTCAGCAGTAATTTGTCACAACAACAATTGAGCACTCAGATGATAGCTCTTTGCAAAAGGCGGCTGGATTTTCTTCTGAGGGACACCTGGCTGGACCTGAACCCTCACCCTTGGGGTTCGCCGTGTGTCCCCGCTCGGGACTTCATTGACGATCAAGGGGCCGGTGGTTCAGTTTGCAGTGTGGGGTAAGCCAGAATCTCTGGCTCCTTATTCACGTTCATCCAACCGCCCACCTTGTGATTGCTGTCCCACTCCTTGACATTATCTCCCCTGGTGGACCAGGGAGGGGAGAAGACTAAAAACGCGACCTGGTCACTGCTACTGTCTGCTCGCTCCATTCCTGTTCCTGTAGGGAGGACCCTGAAGCTGCCAGCTCATGTAGACGGCACCCCACACAAAAAGCAAGCCGATTGTCGCTGAGTCAGCACCAGCTCGTGGGGAGAGGAGACCTGCCCTAGGGGGTCTCCAAGGTTAGCCATCTTTATGAGAGCAGCCGGCCACCTCTCTTCCTCACAAAGCGGCTGCATTTGAACCAGCAACCTTCTGGTTAAGTCAGACCTGTAATCACTGTCCCACGGGGGGCTTTCCGTCTCGAGCCAGAGGTGCCTTCTTTAGCCAAAAACACAGCCCAAGCGGTCTGTGCCAGCAGCAAGGGACAACTGACCTTTTAAAAAATGTTAATAGTAATTTGTCCCTAGGCTGAAAAAAAGAATACTTTTTTAATTGTAAAAGTTAAGTTTGCTGTAAAAAAGCAAACAAATGTATAGCACATTTTCATTTATTGTATTGCATCAAACTCTAGACATTTGCTTTCTCCATTATTCCCTGTATTTGAAATCTGGTTTGTTTTGATTTGGGAGTAAGGCATTTCCCTCACTGTTTCCCCTTCATTTTTGCTTCAAAGGCTGTTCACGAAGTTGAAACAGCTGTATGTGACCTAAGGGTGGGGAATTGGCCGCTCCTGCTCTGTGGATTTCAGGCTGTTTATTTTTATACCTCATTTGCACCACTGAAAAATATGTCTGTTCCCCAAATTTTACCCTCACACTCAAGCAGAACAGTCCCGTGGAAATGCTTTAGAGAAAGATTGCATGCAAGGGAGTATTCTCAGTGCCAGGTATTCTACCTACTCTGTAACCAGCAGTGATTTTACTACATACAAGTTATGTTGTAGGAAAATTTATTTTTAAAAACCCTTAGTGTCTATTTTCTATCAAGTAACACATGCGGTGTGTTTGGTGCCACTGGCCCGGAGTGACACTCGCACAAGCGAGAACAGCTCGGGGAGCAGCCAGTAAAGATGCCCCTGGTGGGTGACATGGACTTGCACTGAGATCCCAAAGGTGCTTTGGGCTGGATTTCTCAGTCAAACGGAGGCATGTGCATCCGTTTAATGTACATACAGGCTCGATCCATGGGCCTTTATCCATAGCGGCATCTCCCATAATTTCAGGTGATTGAGACCCCCCTCTGGTCGTCTCTGTCTCCTCTTAAGGGAAGGGCACGGACAGCTAGCCATCAAAAGGTCTCTCATGTAACATCTCACCGTGCACAGTGAGGCCGCGAAGCTCCACAGTCCCGTTGCAGGACTGGGAGTTTATTTAGTAAAGAGAGTTAACACTCCGCCACAGAGACTGGAAAACAAAAACGAGGCCTTTCAGGAGCAGTGAGTCTCAGTGGACACTGTGGAAACCACGGAGGGGGGAGAGATCAACAAGGGTGACGATGTGGAGAACGGACACACGGACGTGTTGAATGGGCGTGTGAGCCTCTGTCTATTTTCATCAGGAAGTATATCTATGTCTATGTCTATACACACATATATAAAATAAAACTTCGTTTTCAAGTTAAAAGAAGTTAATTTTTTTTTTTCCCAAGGAGGGATCCATAAGAAAGGATGTGCCGCTAAAACCAGTTCTGCACGAGGAATCACAGGACGCCCTGGATGCTCCCCAAAGTAAACTAAACAAAGAGAAGCCCACAGAGTGAGTCAGAAGCACATGAGTTGTAAGAGGCTGAACTCCAGAGAGCAGATCAGGCAGTGCTGCTTAATGCATCACATGACGTGCCCCGAGGCCCCGTATTTCATTAAAATAAGGAGCGGGCTCCCGGGCCACAGCACTGAGGTTCTCAGGAGATGGGGCCAGAGGAGTGAGAGCTGACCCTGACTACCTGCTTCACCCGTTTGTCCATCCGTCCATCCGTCTTCCATGAGAATTGAGCATGGAGCGTCACCACTGCTTGCTGGGCTTCCTGCTGCTGGCAGCAAGATTGCCCCTTGATGCAGCCAAACGTGAGTAACTGCTCCGTGTCCCTGTTTAACCAGTCCCTGGCTGGTGGCTGAAGCGACAGGGTGATGCTGCCCGGGGGTGGGCAGAAGTTAGACCACCGCTCCTCCAGAAGGTGTCACCGCCTCCCTTGTTTCTTCTGGAAATATCGGAGGCTGCTGAACCCCTAGGTGCACCTCATTGTGTTTGGCTTTGCTTTATTGCCTCTTGAAGGTATTGCTTTAAAAAAAAAAAAAAAAAGGAAGGCGGTGGCCCTGGCAAGTCTATAGGTGCCTCCACCCTACCCCCACGTCCCCTCCCACCCACCCCCCAGACAGCTTGGGCTCATTTTGGGTCTCCGTCTCCCGCGTTGGTCATGCTCATACAATAACGCTGCTGCACGGGGATGCACATGTGTGACTCGCCCCCTGGCGAGTGCAGGCCTGTAAGTGAGTCTGGATACAGCTTGATTCTTTGTTTCCGGGTCAGGGAAAGCCAAAACCAGGCACTCCTCTCTTTGCAGCTTCGTTCCCCTGGTGAGTGTCACCCACCGCGGTTCCTCCCAGACAGAGGGGTACAGCCCCAGCCACGCTTCTTCTGGCTTCCACCCAACAGGGCAGAAACCTCCCATGAGTTGGGGCCTAAATCTGGAGGCCCTGCCATTACCCCAACCCAGAAGCTGTGCTTCTAAAGTGTCTGCTCTTCGCAGACCTGGGGGGACCCTGCCACCGCCACTGAGGTTGCAGCGAGACAGCCCAAACGCTGGCGCTGGCCCCATCGCTAGGGGGACACTGAGTACAAAACTGTATCATGGGATGGACTAACACAAAGTTCTGGATTTTTACTGCAGATGAGGGCATTGGACCCTTTAGAGACAGATCATCCCTGTTTAGAAAGTTGTTCTGGTAATGGGCGTGCACAGCCAAGGCTGAGAGCAGGATCCTCTTGTCCAGAGCAGAGGATGGGTGGTGAGGGCAGCGGAAGGTGGGGGGCAGAAGGCTCACTTTCACCTCAACCAGTGGAGTAATGGCATCCAATCCTTGAAAAGCCCCTGATTCTACCAGACAACTTCATGGGGCACACTGGCCCTCATGGGACCAGGGAGCAGGGGGACAGGGACCAGCATCTGCCTAGCACCACCAGGTGTCACTGTGGACGCTGGCTGCTGCGAGCACATGGCGCATGTAATGGACACCACCGGCCTCTCTGGGGCAGATGCGCCTCACCCAGTCAACAGGCACCGCAACCAGGAGCTCTGGTCTTGCCTTTGACCGCCTGCTGAGTCCAGGCCTGAGGGACAGACCGGAGGCTTTGGGACAGGGCTGCCCGTGCCGTTTTACAAGGCAAGGGAGGAGGCCCCTCAAACCAAACCCACTGCTGTTGGTTGTGTCCGGGCTGCCTCCTAGCACCCCGACAGGCCCCTGGGTGGTGCAAACTGCCTTTGGTCAGCTGCTAATGAAAGGTTGGTGGTTCAAACCAGGAGTGCTGCAGAAAGGCCTGGCAATCTGCATACAGACGGCAGCAAACAAACTCGTTGGAACGCACTTGCCCTCGGCGTTGAGTTGCAGCAGGTTTGTTTTGCTTTTTGCCGCGTTGGATCAGGGCCGCGTGTGCTTGTTGGGAGACTAAGGGGCCCAGGTACCCCAGAGCTGGCAAGGGGTCCCTGGTTACACTGGTGGAGGAACCTGGAGAGGCCGAGGCAGGTGGAGGGAGGGGTTCCAGGTGGGGCAGGAGGGGTCCAGCCTGGCAGAGGAGGGACAGACACGTGCGGACCCTGGGATGGTGGGGGAGGGGGACAGAGGGAGCCTCCGAGGCAAGAGGCTGGGGTCGCAACCTGCCCAGCCGCCATCTCCCTCCTGCTCCCGCCCTCTCCTCGGCGGACAAGGCGTTTCGGCTTAGGAGGAGGGAGTTCCAACTACGGAATGTGAACTTGACCCGCTGGTTCCCAGGCCGGGAGGAGCCCCACCCGGGCGCGGCATGGGAAACGGAAGGGGGACCGGCCGGCGGGGACCTCTGTGCAGCTGGCGCGTCCCCGGGGCGCCGCTGGGAGGCTGTCCTGTGATTCTCCGGGCTCCCCGATGGGCACCATGGCTCCCGGAGGGCGGTCAGGCACGGATGACTCAGCATCTTTCAGCTTTCATATCCTTGTTTGCAAAGCTGCGTACGGAACCCCTCGGGAGCCGAGGGCGATCGACTAACACAAGGTTCTGGGCCAGAAAGACCCAGCTCGGGCCTGGCCGCTCGCATGGCGGAGCGGAACTGCCCCGCAGCGCAGGCTAGACTGTGATCCTTTTGAAGAGATGGCCAGGCCTTTCTGCCCCGGTGCAGTTGGGTGAGTTCCAGCTGCAACCTTGCTGTCAGGAGGAGTGTAAACGGCTGTGCCACCCTGGCTCTCATAGGACACGTGTACGGGCAGCCATGACTATTGTGTGAGACACCTGCCCCCCACCCTCACTGGACCTCCAGGGCCAGACGGACTCTTGGGGCTGAAGTTCCAGCAGGTGCAGAAATAGAGAATTGGTGGCGATTGGAAGATGGGGCGTCTAATTCCTGGGCGCCTCCTGTCACCCCCATCCCTTCGCTCTGCTCAGTCAGGCAGATTAGCCAGAGTCCCAGCAAGTCCAGGAGAGGGCACGGTGCCAGGGGCTCGGTGTGATTCCGTGTTGGAGTCACATTCACCCTCCACCTTTCCCTCTGTAAGCATGCTTACGATGGGGTTGGCCTGGTTCTAATTTACTTTTATGTTCAACATTTTATTTGCAGATAACTGTAGATATTGACATGCAGCTGTAAGGAACAATGTGGGGAGATCCCCTGTCCCGTTCCCTGGTGTAGGAGTGGGCTTATGCATTGAGCGGCTAACCACAGGTCAGCACCTGGAGAGTCCCAGGTGCTCCATGGGAAAGGTGAGGCTGTCTGCTCCTGTGAAGATTTAAAGACTCAGGGGCCAGTTCTATTCTGTCCTACAGGGTCACTAAGAGTCAGAATCAGCTCGATGACAGCAAGGTTCTTTCCCCCTACGGGTGACAAACCAGGATGTTGGCACTGAAACAGTAGAGACACACAACACGCTCTTCACCACAAGGATCCCCCACACTGCCCTTAACAGCCACACCATTCCCCTCCCTGCCCCCAACCCTCGGCAACCCTGGTCTGCCCCGTTCTCTAAACGGAATCATGCAGTAATAACGTTTTGGAATTAGCATCGTTCTTTCAGCATAGTCTGAAAAAGATTCATCGGAGCTGTTCATGTCTCACAGGTGTGTCCCTTTCTTCTTGCTGGGGAATAACCGGGGTGTGGTATGTGTGAGAGTTGAACCCCTCGCCCCCTGAAGGACACCTGGTTGTTTCCAATTTAGGGCTCCTTTAACTAAAGTTACTGGGAAAATTTTTGTTCAGATTTTTGCATGAGCATAAAAGATCAATGCTTTGTAAAAAAAAAAAAAATGCCCACAAGTACAATTACATGGTAAACCCATGTTTAGCTTCAAAAGAAACGGCTAACCTGTTTTTCAGAGTCCCCTGTGCTGTTTTACTTCACAGGAGTAACATGCCTGGGCCAGGTTCTCTGCACCCCCTTCTCTGGGTCTCGTCACGGGTTTATTTTGTAATGTTAGTGGCTGTGTAGTGGTATGTCCCTGTGGTTTTGAGGCGCGCTCTCTAAAGGGCTAAGGAGGTTGACGGCATTTTCCCGTGTTTATCTGCCGTCTGTAATGTCCTCCTCGGTGAAGTCTCTTGTCAGGGTGTTTTGTCCATTAGACTTGGCCTTTTCACGCCTGAGTGTGCAGAGCCCTGGAGATTTGAGACACTAGTCTTTTGTTGGATTTGTGGTTTACAAATATTTTTTCCCTAGAAGGTAGCTGGTCTTCTCATCCATCTTGGGTGGCTTGTCACAAGTGAACAGTTTTCATTTTAATGAGACCCAGTTGATCAGTGTTTCCTTTTATGGATCATGCTTTTGGTGTCAGGTCTAAGAATTCTATACCTAGGCCATGGTCCTAAAGATTGTCTCCTGGGCTTTTCCCCCATAAGGTTTTATAGTTTTATGTTTAGATTTGTGGTCTACTTGAGTTAATTTTTGCAAAAGGCATAAACTTTAGGCCAAATTCTTTTTTTTTCCCAAGGATGATTAGCTATTTAGTACCATTTGTTGAAAAAGGGAGGAGCCTTGATGGCCTAGTGGTTATACATTAGCCTGCTAACTGCAAGATCAGCAGTTCAAAACCACCAGCTGCTCCACAGAAGAAAGGCCAGACTTTCTACTCCGGTAAAGAGATAGTCTCCACAGGAGCAATCAAAGAGGGAAGGAGAGAGTGGAACACATCCTGGCCCACCAAGCCCCGAGGACAATATTCCTGCTGAGAGCAGCTAATGCACAGAGAGGATCATAGGGCCAGCCCCACCATGAGACACAACGTCCCTCACTGACCCATAGCACTTCGAGGGACAACACTGGAGACACAGTGTGGAAATTGTGCCCCATCTGACCCCACCACATGGGGGTGGAGTCGGGGGGACACTAAAGGCGTGCAACAGAGCAGCAAGGGGAGCAAAGCAATTAAGTCCGCAGGGAACACCAAAAATAGATTTGGGGCTCAGGGCATGGCACCCCATCATACTTGACTGGAAAACACTCCTAAATGTCAACAAACAGACCTGGAACTATTTATAGGCTTTTCTTTTGTTGTTCTTGTTTTCTTTTCTTTTGTTGTTTTGTTTTACTCTGTCATGTTTTTTGCTTATTAGTGTCTCTGTATGTCTTTGATAACATAGGTGGGATAAACAATCCGGAGGAGAAAACAACTGGACTGATGGTTCTGGGGGGGACATGGGAGAGGGGGAGGTGGTGGAAAGAAAGTGGGTGTTAACAAACCCAAGGACAAAGGAACAACAAGTGATCTAAAATTGATGGTGAGGAGGGCATAGGATGCCTGGTAGGGCTTGATCAAGGGCAATGTAACTGAGAGGAATTACTGAAACCCAAATGAAGGCTGAACATGATAGTGGGACAAGAGGAAAGTAAAAGGAAAAAAAAAAGAGGAAAGTAAAAGGAAATAGAGGAAAGAGCTAGGAGGCAAGGGGCATTTATAGAGACCTAAATTTAGGCATGTACAAAGGTAAATATATTTATATATAAAATGATAGGGAAATAAATCTATGTACATATGTTTATATGCTAAGTATTAAGGTAGCAGATGGGCCTCTATTCAAGTACTCCCTCAATGCAAGAACACTGTTCTAATAACCTGGCATTCTGTGATGTTCAACTTCCCAACACAATTGCTGAAGACAAAATGGGTGTATAAGAAAATGTGGTGAAGAAAGCTGATGGTGCCTGGCTATCAAAAGATATAGCCTCTGGGGTCTTAAATGCTTGAAGATTTAACAAGTGGCCATCTAGCTAAGAAACAACAAAGCCCACATGGAAGAAACACACCAGCCTGTGTGATCATGAGGTATCAATGGATCGGGTATCAGGCATCAAAGACCCAGAATCAAAAAGTCATATCAATGTGAATGGGGGGGAGGGAGGAGTGGAGACACAAAGCCTATTTGTAGACAATTGGACATCCCCTTACAGAAGGGTCACAGGAAAGAGATGAGCCAGTCAGGGTGCAGTATAGTACCTATGAAACATACAGCTTTCTTCTAGTTCTTTAATGCTTCTTTCCCCCCACTATCATGATCCCAATTCTACTTTACAAATGTGGCTAGACCAGAGCATGTACATAGGTACAGATAAGAGCTGGAAAGACAAGGAATCCAGGACAGTTAAATCACTCAGGACCAATAATGAGAGTAGCCAGACCAGGGGAGTAAGGGGAAGGTGGAGAAGAAAGGGGGAAACACATCACAATGATCTATCTATAACCCCCTCCCAGGGAACGGACAACAGAAAAGTGGGTGAAGGGAGACATTGGTCAATGTAAGATATGGAAAAATAGTAATAGTTTATAAATCATCAAAGGTTCATGAGGAAAGGAGGGAAGGTGGAGGAGGGAGGGGAAAAATGAAGAGCTGATACCAAGGGATCAAGTAGAAAGAAAATTTTGAAAATGATGATGGCAACAAATGAACAAATGTACAAATGTGCTTGACACAATGGCTGGATGTATGGATTGTGATAAGAGCCCCCAATAAAATGATTATAAAAAAGAGAGAGAGAGAGAAATACAGTCTCGAAAAATCACAGGGACAGCTCTACCCTGTCAGTCCAACAGGGTTTCCAGTAGAGCTGGAGCTGCTGACCATGGGTTATTCCCTTGACTTAGTGGAAATATGATGTCTATACTTTCCAGTCTTGTGGAATGAATGTCCCTTGTGTGAAATAAGTACTAAACGAGGAGCAGGCAATTAATTTGTCTTTCAAATATTGATACAGGATTCCATGAGGTGCTGGGGGAGGAAAGAGCTTCCGCTTATCTGCGGAGCCACAACCAACTCAACGGCTGGTCTTCCGATGACAACGACTGGGATGAAGAGCGCTATCCTGTGTGGGAGCCGGGAGACCCGAGGTGGAAAAGCTCCTGGAAAGGTAGGTCACAAGATCCAACCCAAACCGCTGTCATCTCCTTGTGTCAGTAACTGCTCCAGGTTCAGGTTGCAGAAGCTGTTGGATGACACGTTGCACTCTGGCTATGCAACGGGATGGCGGCCTTCCTCTATTCTAGTCTCATCACGTTCTAAGCCACAGGACCGTTTTCAAACCCCTTAGAAAGTTTCAGTTTGGGAGCTCTTGGTTAATGTCGAAAGTGATTAAACCTTCCACCTCATGATTGCAGGAATGGTCACGTGTGGCCCCAGAGCTGTGTGACCATCTCCAAGCTGAGGTTGGTGAGAAAACAAACAGCCCGCCGTTTGTGTGGGAGAGGGAGTCCTTCAGTGATTGACGTGAGATCAAAAAACACAAAGCTTCAAAACCAGATTCCTCAATCTTATTACTGCAAACAATTGTTCCTTCTATGAACACAGAATTCTTTAACTGGGTGCCTTTACTTTTTGAAATTCATCTCTTTGAATGTCCTTCTCTGAAAGAGGAATGCAAACGTAAGGTATTGTATCAGAAGAGGCATTTGGATCCATGGGTCCTTATGGGTAGATTCATTCTTCATTTTTATTTCAGTATGGATCTGTCCGTGACAGGAGAATGAGGTGCTCGATCACTCATCTCCGTTTTTTATGTCCCAGGTGGCCATGTGCAGGCAGTCCTGACCAGCGACTCCCCAGCCCTGGTGGGCTCAAACATTACATTTGTGGTGAGCCTGGTATTCCCCCGATGCCAAAAGGAGGATGCCAGTGGCAGCATAGTCTATGAGAAGAACTGCCAAAATGGTGAGAAACGTTCCTCATGCCATGGAAACAGGGGTTGGTTTCCTAACTAGTGTAGACCCCTCCCACTCACCTCAGTGCTCACAAGTTACTTCGGTGTAAGTGTCAGATCAGAGCCCTGGTGGCAGGGTGGGTTTCAAGTTGGGCTGCTAACCACAGGTCTGCAGTTGGAAACCACCCACTAACTGCTGGTGAAGGGTGAGGTTTCCACTGCTGTGAAGTTTACAGTCTCCGGCAGTTCTGCTCTGTCTTGTAGGGTAGCTGTGAGTCAGAATTGAGTCAATGGCAGTGAAGTGTGTGTGTGTGTGTGTGTGTGTGTGTGTGTGTGTGTGTGTGTGTGTAAATGTCAGGTGCTGAGATTGTCCTTCTATATGCTCCTCCACACATGTGTAACAAGGAGGGTGAGCGTGTATTTCTACCCAGTACTCTCCTATTTAAGCTGGTTCTGAACAGCCAGGGAAGTGTTTAACTCGGACTCCTCACTGGACATTCTGCGTCCAGACACTGATCTGGTCTGCTTCTTTTCCTGTTTAGATACAGGTTTGTCCCATGACCCGTATGTCTACAACTGGACAGCGTGGACAGAGGACGGTGACTGGGGAAATGGCACGAACCACACTCATCACGTGTTCCCTGATGGGAGACCTTTTCCTCACCGCCCGGGATGGAAGAGATGGAATTTTGTCTACGTCTTTCACACACTCGGTAGACTGATTTTTATTTTTCGTTCTTTTTTCTTGGTATTTCCATAGTTCTCTCTTGACTCCATTCATTTCCACAATTACAGAAGCATATCAGGGTTAAATAATATCCGTACATCATTATCAGCATATCCATTTGACCTCCATTATTTGCCTCAAATGGTCATTCAGTTGGTGGCTAACCTTTAATGAGTATTTCGGTTAATTTTGTTCCCATCATAGCAAAATAATTTTCTATCTTCTCTCCTTTTGGTCCATGAAAATACATTTGATCGAATATCTGCTTGGACAACAGCCCTCTGCCCCGCCCCTTTCAAAGTCAATGGTCATATCCCAGACCAACCACCCATGAGAAAGGGACAAAGATGGGTGGTTTCGTAGTTGACACACATGGTTAGACTTTTCCCAGTGCCCTTAGCCTTTGCCCTTCTGTCTTTGTTATCTGATGCTGGTCCAGCAGAGTTACCGCACATGGATGGGTTTGCTAAACAGAAGTTAATGTTCTCCCAGGCTAGTAGGCTCGGGGTCTGAGTTTAGGACGTCAGCTCTTGGGAAGGCGTTCTTCCTCTGTCAGCTCGGTCCTGCGCTTCTGCCCCTGGGCAGTCTGCATGTGGCCCGGCTTCTCCTCCGTCCCTCATCTCTGCCTTTCAGCCGGCTGTTCAAGCTCTAGCTCTCAAAGGAGACCCACTCCTGAGCACCCGCACTAGCCCTGTCTCATTAGCGCGGCCAAGAAAACCCATTCCCAAGGGGGATTTTAACTGTGGGCATAAACATTGAGATTGAAAACACAGATTGTCAACCACAGGCACCCTGTTGACTTCCTTTAGAACGCGTGGAGAATAGGGGACAAATATAGGGTAGCCTTGCTGCATCCCCAGGACACCAAAGAGTTCCCTAAGAAAAAGAAACAGATGGAGCTACAGAACTACTCAGTTTATTGTTCCTCCTGTCTAGAACTACTACGTACAAATTATCTTATTTGGATGACATTTGAATGGGCATTTTGTAAACTTCTTTTTTTTTTTTTTGCATTTTAAAAAATGTAGGCACTTTGTAGAGAATTTGGAAAGTGCAGAAAAACACTACTGAACGATAAAAGCCACCTGTAGCTATCAGCCCATTTGGGGATGAGGGATGGGATGTGCTGAGCCCCGTCAACCGACTCCTTCGAGCTGTTTGGCTCTGTCTGAGAAGGTGTCATGATTTTGCCCCGTGTGCTTCACCGCACTCATGGATGTATTTGCAGCAAAGGGAAACATACATACAGGCTTGGCACTTTTTTATTTTAATTTTTGTTCCACATTCCTTTCCCACTTTATCAAGAACTTTCAGAGGGGCCAGTAGTGGTAGCTGGGAGAGATGGAGTTCTAGTCTCCGGTTGTAGAGACTGAGGTTTGCATGGGTTTTAGTCTTTACGATTCATTGTTTTCTTTTCTTTTTTTTAATCGTTTTATTAGGGGCTCATACAACTCTTATCACAATCCATACATACATCAATTGTGTAAAGCATATTTGTACATTCATTGCCCTCATCATTCTCAAAACATTTGCTCTCCACCTAAGCCCCTAACATCAGCTCCTCATTTTTCCCCTCCCTGCCCGCTCCCCCTCCCTCATGAGCCCTTGATAATTTATAAATTGCTTATTTTGTCATATCCTGCCCTGTCTGACATCTCCCTTCACCCACTTTTCTGTTGTCCGTCCCCCAGGGAGGAGGTCACATATAGATCCTTGTAATCGGTTCCTTCTTTCCAACCCACTCTCCCTCTACCCTCCCACTATCACCACTCACAGCACTGGTCCTGATGGGATCCTCCGCCCTGGGTTCCCTGCGTTTCCAGCTCCTACGATTCATTCTTTTCATGCGTTTTTGGTTTTCTCCTCTCCTCTTTCCTCTGGATGTGGAGAGACAGTCGTTCCGCCTCCAGTAGCCACTCGTACACCGGTATGAGTCCAGCTGCTAGGGTTCAGAGCGGTGCCTTTATGAACTGTGTTATCCCAGTGGACCTTGGTGTCCCTCAAGGAAGAATGATTTTTAGGAAAAGCAAATTTAAGTTAATAACAAAGCTGCTTGGTTCTTAATTTACAATGCCATTGGATATCAAGTATTTGAAGCGTTTCTGTCTTTATAAAGAAAGTATCTCTTCCTTAAATGATCTTACTTACAAATAAAAACAAAAGTATTAATATCGATATCAATTGAACAAAGTTGATTTCAACAAAGTGCATCACACCCTGTGTATTAATGCAATGCCCATCTATTCAAGTCAGTTGCTTCAAACTTAATTTCATCTATAAAGAGGTCCCTGCTAGTCAACTCAAGGAATGTGTTGACGTCTTTGACCTGCCACTCTCAGGACAGAATTCTGACAGCTTGCTTGAAGCCACTTTTGTTTTTGCCCCCAGTAGTTTTGTTGAGATATAATTCATGTATCATACACTTCCATAGTCCAGCTGTATTTTAAAAACCCTTGTCTATACCTCACCACAAATCAGGTCTAGTGCCTCCTCCCCCTCCTGTCTTAATTATTTGTTCTCCAGTTCCTCTCATCCTCACCCCTATCCCTGATAAGCTGTTACATCAATGATTAATCTCTGTATAGCCATCCCTCTGTGCTTCATAAACTAGGAAACAACATACCCGAAACAAAACAAAAAGGAGAATATGTACGCAGGTAGCAAACCTCTGCTGAGAGGCAAAAAACCGCTTACCCTAGAACAAATCCAGAACGGGTCAAGAGGGAGCTCAAATGACCAGGGAGCATGTTGCGCGGTCGTTTCTTCTACATCATCAAGTTTACAATAATCCCTGTTTGATGAGTCCGAGGGGGGCTGCCAGAGGTCTACCCCCGGGGACTCTGCAGATGGATGTGCGCTCCCACGGTCCTCCATGCCCTGCTACCAACTGGGTGTTTACAAGTAAGCTCTGAACGCGTTCCCTCATTGTAGTTAGGGTTTGCTAGTTGTCATCGCTGGGTCACGCAGGCTGACGTGCTTCTTCTGGGTGGGCCTAGCTGGTGCCTCACTTAGCCGGCTGCTTGTTTGAGTCTGAGCCTTTAGGGCCACATCTCTTCTTTTGGAGTGCTTTCTTCACCGCACGTTGCTGTCGCACATCCATCCTCAGTGACCTCGTCATGAGGGCAAGTATGGAGCAGGGCCACGTCCTAAGGACGCACTGTTCTTGGATCAGAACTAGAATTAAGTGGGAGCCCAGAATCCACTCGCTTGTTTATGGATTATGTATGACTCTCATTCACTTTAGAGAGCTCATTGTCAATTCATGATATAGAACATTATCAGTTATCCCCCTAGGGCAGCAGTTATCAACCTATGGGTCTCGACCCAATTCATAACAGTAGCAAAAGGACAGGTATGGAGTAGCAACGAAAATAATTTTATGGTTGGGGCAGGGGGGGTCACCACAACATGAGGAGCTGTATGAAAGGGTTGCAACATTAGGAAGGTTGATTGCGTTATTATTTATCCAATGGCATGAAGTCACTTTCCGTCTCTCACACTCGTTTCTTTTTAGCCATGTTAACAAAAATGTCTTTCTTTAAATCAGCTCTTGCCCAGAAATGGTTGCTATTCTAACACAATGACTTTGAATGTCCATCTTCCCCCGAGGTCTCAGAGTTCATTAGTCTCCTTGGTATCCTCCGTGGACTCAGCGCTCGGTGTTGGAGCTAACATTTACCTCTCCCCTCCTCGCCCCCGGTCCCGAGAGGGACCTTTTTCTACTACAGTCGCCCACAGAACTGCCCTTGCAGCAGAGCGAGGAGGATAACAGAAACACATCCCTTAGGGGACCAGGCTGCCTCTCTGGTGTGTCTGATCGTGTGGCAATCACGGTCTGGTCTTCCAAACAGCCCTGCTCACAAGCATCTGCCTTGAACTACCCGGGCTTGCCTGTGGCAGATTTCTGCTGGGCACCAAGGCCGGAGTAGAAATGTCCTCGCACCCTTACTCAAGGACTCCTTTTTGACCTGCATGCAGTGCCAGGCTAGAAGAGGGTAGTAGAAAGAAAATGAGACGACCAGAGGGCATCCTTGAAATGTGTTCATGAAACCGCTCCCTTCCCTTCTACCCACACACCTGTTTATTTTTCATCGTTTCCTGTGTTTTTACTACAAAAATAGCTCAGGGAAGCATGGAGAGTTTCAGTCTCACAAAAGAGCTGCTTAACACACTGCGTGTTGTTTGGCTACAAGGGACAGAATGACACTAGTGAGGGGGAGAGTCATCACCCACGGGAGAGCAGCATTCCCCTGAGGACAGGTTCAAGGGGCTAGGGAGAAGGGGAACCAAAATAGGAAAGCAAAGGAGGAAAGGGAATACCCGATGGTACCTGGAATGGATCGCCAAGAGGGAGACGAAGCAGAACGTGTCCGAATCGTTGACTGTAACATGCTGGTCTAAACAAAAATAAACTCGGCAAGCCTTCCCACAAGTCACAAAGAGGAGGTTTAAAATCAAGCAATCAAATACAACTATAAGTAAAGATTTTTTAAAGAGAATTGCTTAATAAGATGTCAAAAGTAGTAATGTTATAATAATATATATAATATAAACATTATAGTTGTCTGTAATGAGTACCTATAGTAGATAGGTTACAAGTACCCATAGTTACACATATAAATATTATAGGTATAGACTATCTATAAAACCATCTATAGAGCCCACGCCAAACTACTGCTGAACACAATGCCATGTCCTACAGAGGCAAACTGCTCCGCAGGACCTTGGCTGTAATTTTTACAGAATCACATTGTCACGCCTTTGCCTTTCTTCTGTGACACTGCTGGGTGAGGTTGAACAGCAAACCTTTAGTAGCCAAGGGCGAACCGTTTGCTTCACCGAGGGGCCTTGGTGCAGTGGGTTCGGGTTGGAGCGCTAATTGAATGGTCAGTGGGTCACACCCAGCAGTCGGCCTCTGTGGCCGTGGGGATCCCATGGTGCTGGTCTCTTCTGTTCTGCAGGGTTGCTGTGAGTCACGATCACTAGTGGGTGTGGGTGTGGGTTTAGGGACCTTACGTTTGGGCAAACATAGTTATATGCGGTGGAATTTCTGACACATATTTAGTTTCACTGGCATTTCACCATTGCATTCAGTGTTTCCCATGGGGGGGTATTTTAGTTACCAGCCCACTTACTTATTGAGAGTATGTATTTGTAAACTGAAGACCAGTCAGCTGATATCATTTTGGCCAAATACATGCACTTGTATTTGTATGACCTCTGGCTTGGTTTTGGAAGGTTTTACATAGAAGCACCAGGCCATCTTCCTTTCTGAAACATCTTCCTGGGCCTACCTGCTGTGTTTCCTTCCCCAAGCAATCTCTCTTAAGTGACGTCATTAGTCTTTAAGAAAGAATAACTTATTATAATGATCATGTTATTTAGCCAATAACCGAGCGTTGACATCCTCTTAAAGGTCAATATTTCCAGAAATTGGGACGCTGTTCGGTGGGAGTGTCCATGAACACAGCCAACGTGACTCTTGGCCCTCAAGTCATGGAAGTGACTGTCTATCGAAGACACCGGCGGGCATTTGTTCCGATCGCCAACGTTAAGGATGTGTACGTGGTAACAGGTGAGTGATGGGAGCGCTGAATAGCAGGTAGAGAAGCACTTGGTACAGGTATTAGGAGTCGGCGAAGAAAGAGCTGGAGCGGGTTGTTCTGCATTAGATTAGGATCCAGTTAGGCTCCTTCCCAAACTTTTATTTATGTCATGTTCCTTCTGTGTTTTTCAGAATAACTTAGGAAAACTAGAAAAATTAAGTTCGAAAAGAAAAAACGATATCGACTCCTTAGTTTTCTTTTCTTTTCTTTTAATGTAAAAACATATTGAAGGAGTCCACTTTAAATCAAGCAGTCTTGCGGCACTCTTTCTGTTTTTCAAATGCTTCATTTAGATCAGATTCCTGTATTTGTGACTATGTCCCAGAAGAACGATCGCAATTCATCGGATGAGACCTTCCTTCGGGACCTCCCAATTACATTCGACGTCCTGATTCATGATCCCAGCCACTTCCTTATTGAGTCCACCATCAAGTACAAGTGGAACTTTGGGGACAATACCGGTCTGTTCGTTTACAACAATCACATTTCAAATCACACCTATGTGCTTAATGGGACCTTCAGCCTTAATCTCACAGTGCAAGCTGCAGTGCCTGGACCTTGTCCCTCGCCTTCCCCCAGATCTCCAAAGGCCACTCCGACTCTAGGTAAGTGTCTTCCTGGGGTCCTGAGGAGGTCTCCTTAAGAGATGAAAAGACTCATATTCATGTCGATTATTATTGGGTGCCTTCAAGTCGATTCCAACTCAGTTACCCCATGGGGCAGTAGAACTACCCCTGAAGAGTCTTCCTACCTGTCGTCTCCAGATCTTAATTTGATGGAGTCACTCTCAAAGGAACTCACTGCCACTGAGTCAGTTTCGACTCTTAGCAACCCTGCAGAGCAGAGCAGAGCTGCCCCTTGGGAGCCCAAGAGGAACTTTCACAATACCCCGCCTCAGCGCTTCCCCTCTGAGCAGCTAGCGGGCTCACCCTGTGACCAGTGGTGAGCAGCTCGCTGGTGACTCACCGCACCACCAGGGCGCCGTTCTCCCTGCCAAGACCACACCACTCAGTGCGCTTTCTTCCTCTTTTAAAAGACGGCTTTATTGCCACTTCATCCACGTGTCCTAAAACTCAATCGTTCAATCGTATCCAGTAGAGTTGTACAATCATTGCCACAAACACTTTTAGAAATTTTTCTTTTTCCTTGCACTCATTGTTATTAGTGTAATTATTATTTTTCAGTTGTGGCAAATATATATACAACAAATCATTCACCAATTCTGCAACTTCTACATGTATCATTCAGTGCCATTGATTATACTCTTCATGTTGTACAACCATTATTGATCTCCTTTTCCAAATCATTCCAGCACCATTCACATGAACTCAGTGCCCCCTAAGCAAAAATAATCGTTCTCCTTCATAATGGTAACCACTGGTCAACTTTTTGTTTTTCTTTTTTTAAATTTATTTTATTTTATTTTTTCCAACTTTTTGTTTTTCATAGTTTTCTTGACATAAAATTCACATAGCTTACACTTCAATCGTTAAGTTGCTTATAAGAAGAGTTGTCTATCCATCATCACAGTCAGTTCTAGGCGTCCTCTTCCCTCCTGCAGTCGTCGTTTGCTCCCCACTGCCCCCAACCCCATCAGTTACTGTCTCTATGAATCCACTCCTCTGTGCTTCATAAGCTGGAACCTGACAGAAACAATGAAAAAACAAACTAAAATGAAACAGAGAGAAGAAAAAAGATAACGATAGAAAGATTAAAAGAAAGAGTAAGAAAGAAAAAAATCACCAATGGCATTTAAAAAGACAGAGAAGAAATTTCTGCCATGGAACAGTGAGAATTATTCTAAGTCTAGAACAAATTCAGGTTGGGTCTAACGGGAGGTCAATTGACCAAGTATCATAATACCAGGGTTCTGGTCAGCATAATCAAGATTACAGTCATCTCTGTCTGATAGTAAGGCTGTTTGAGGCCCTCTCCTGTGGCCAGAGGGGCTCTGCCAGAGGCCCAACCTGACCAGACACTCTGCAGATGGATGTGGGCTCCCGCTGCTCTCCACAACCTCTACAAACCGGGTGTTCACACTTTGAGCGCTGATACTTTCCCTTTCATCATATTTGGATTTTGTTATTGCCATCTTTGGATCACGCAAGCAGGTGTGCTTCTCCCATGCGGACTTAGTTGATGCCTCACTTAGAAGGATGCTTGTCTGAAGACAAGCCTTCAGGACCCCAGGCACCATCTATTTTCTAGCACCGTTATCTTTTTCTTTTCTTTGTAATTTTTAAATCAGTTTATTGGGGGCTCGTACAACTCACCCTTATCTTACGTGGTCTCTTCATGAAGGTGAGCGTGGAGCAGGGTCACGTCATGAGAACCAACGGCTCTTAGGTTGTGGCTACAGTGAAGCGGCATCCCAGAATCCATCGGCTTGTCCACGGGCCACCCAATTTCCTATGAAAACACCACCACCCTTGTAACCCACTTCCTAAAGACCCAAGGAAGAAAGTACCTTGAGAGTGTTTCTGGTGTTAACAAGCCGGAAAGATCCCAGATATTAAAATTGTTCTGGATATAAGGCATACGCCATTATATCACACCCTCTGTTAATCTTATGTAAGGAGGTTAATTTCTTACAAGCTCACAATAGGAAGGGTCAGCTTCCATCTGGGCTGGTGGCCCTGCCGGCACTCTTACCACTCTTCCCCACTTGGCCTTGAACAGAGTTTAAGCCCAAACCCAGCCGGACCCACTGCCTTGAGTCAATTCCAACTCATAGCCACCAGACAGGACAGAACAGGACTGCCCCTTCAGATTCTGAGTGAGACGTTGGATCTTCACAGGAGCAAACCGCCACATTTTTCTCCCTCGAGGACAGTGTTGTAGTGGGCTCTTAACCCGTTGAACTCTTAACCACAAGGAAGCAATGGAAACCATCAGCCACTCTGTGGGAGAAAGATGCGACTTTCTACCCATGCTAAGAGTTAAGTCTCAGCAACCCCCAGGAGTCAGGAGTGGGCTGACATTCTCTCACTGGCCCCAAGAGGGCGCCCTGACCAAGCCCAGAGGGAACACCCCATCGTAATGTCCAGGGTTGTTTTGTTTTACTAAACTTCATTAGTAAGAAAGTAAGAGCTTGGGAAAAGAAAAAAAAAGAAAGTAAGAACTTGTTAAGTCAAGACACTACCAGGAATTATTTTCTGATTTTTATTAATTATTTTTTGAAATCTTATAAATATTAAAATTCACGCATGTTCTTTCATAAAAACTCAAGCAATATAGAAAAAGGTGAAAATCTCTATTCACATTCTCCTCCTAAGAGTTAACCACTGTTAATGATTAGGAGTAGTTCCTCCCAGGTCTTCTTCTGTGCATTCATAAACGTGTGGAAGTGTGTGTAGGCTTCGTTTGGGGAGGTTTACATAAATGGATTCTGCTATGTATATTGTTTTACAACTTGCTCTCCTCTACTTAACAAATTTCACAGACATTTTTCCAATGTTACTGCATATAATATAACCTTATTTTATTAAAAAGCTACCTATAGTTATTGAATCCAATTCCATATAATATATTTAGCCATTCTTTTATTGATGGCTGATTAATTTAATTCTACTCCAATTACAAATATTACTGTATTGAGCATCTTTAAACATAAGAACCAATTTCTTTATATACAAGTATCAATGTCTTCCTAAAATAAGAGGGTAAGTTATAAAATTCAAATCAAATTACAAATGCCTTTAACTCCTGCACCTAAAAATCCTGAGTGCTCCCAGGACTCTGTGAATCTGTTTCAGTTGTGTGCTCATTAAGCCAGTTGTTTTTCCTAGAGCCTACTTATACCACCGGACACGTAAAAAGACAGTTAATTCAATGAAAATGTATTTGCAATTTCTGTTATTATCTTCCCTAGGTCAGATCATAACATAGAAGATTCATAATTACTTTATGAATTAGTTACGTGTGTAACCAAGGGAAACGTTCTGACCTTACAATAAAGTGCAAAAGCAAACGTGACCAATCCCAAGTGCGGGAGAGCAGCTCTGAGGTGTGGGGGAAGGGTGGAACTAAGTCATGGGACCCACAATGACAATAGGAATTCGCTCCGGACTTCAGAAAACAAAGTGGAAGCAGACTGGTTCTCCAGAAGAGAGAATTTCCAGCTCCACAGACCTCATCAGGGGGCCGGGCTGACAGCTCCGGATTAGCCCTGAGCCCCAAATTGTGGCCTCTCTGCTTTGGTAAGTGGCTTCTTGGTGAACAGAGCCCAACCAGACACCAAGCACGAGGACAGGGGAGCCTGGGGCTGAGCGGAAGCAGCCATAGCCCATGGTTCAATCGGGAGCGGAGGAGCAGGCCCTCCCGTGAAGGCACGGATTCCCTTTCCTTTCCCTCTTCAGCTGAAGTGAGTCAAGCTGAAACCCAGGCCTCGTGAGGCTGAGGTCAGTCAGTGCTATATCCTGTGTGTGCGCACGCGCACGCGCACGCGCACGCACACGCACTCATCGTCCATACCCACTGCCGCGTCAATTCCGCCTCATAGAGCCCTGACAGAGCAGAGGAGAATGGCTCTCTAGGGTTTCCAAGACTAAATTGCAGTTGGTTACAAGGACCCCTCACACGTGCATCCCATTTTACAGCCAGCAAGTGGAGGTGAAGCTAGGTTAAAGGGTGTGTCCTTAGGAGCAAATATCTAAAAACGTGGGTTTCTGGGATTTGAGCCCAGAATACCTGACCCTAGAACCCTCACCTGGTCCGGCAGGCTTTATTTCCTGGTGAGTGTTGGGTCACACATTTTGTAGAGGTTGCTACCTTTCAGCTGTTGCCAGTGTTTAAACAAGAGAGACCATTGTGCTTACTTACTGCCTAACCACCACAGCGCTCCTCTCTGGAAAGCCCTGCGCACGGAGATGAATTTCCGCAGCACCTGGAGCAGCGGAGACTGGATGTCTTCTTAAGGAGCAGTTCTGGTTTGGGTAAGCTCATGATGGGCATCACCTTTTGCATCTGTGGTGACTTCTCCAAAATCTCATCTCCCAAACCCTCCAGGTCCTGCTGGCGGCCACGGCCTGGAGCTGAGCGAGATTGTTGCCAAAGGTTGCCAGATTACCAAATACGGTTATTTTGAAACCATCCTCACCATCGTAGGTAAGGCTGAAGACCAACCAAGGGAGGACATACAAACCCATCTACAGCAAATTCTCTCTAGGAGCCCTGCTGGCATAATGAGTTATGTGACAGGCAGCTAATCATGAAGTCATTGGTTCGAACCCACCACCGGAAGGAGAAAGATGAGGCTGTCTGTTCCTCTAAAGATTTATATTCTCAGCAACCCAAAGGAGCAGCTTGGCTCTATCCTACAGGGTTGCTGAGTCTAAGGTGAACTCTGGAGAGTGGGGACTAAGACCCCCCACTCCCTGTCAGAGGAGTCACCCCACCACCCTAGGGTGCGGGCTCCGCCTGCCTGGCCTGGCCTTCCTCCCACAGCCTGGTGGAAGTGAGCCTTTGGTGAACTCCAGCAGGTGAACTTGCCGTGGGCGTGGCTCTCACCTTCTGATCCCCCACAGCTGGCGGGCTGAAGAAAGGCCAGGTTGGCGTTCTCACCATGTCTGCTGCCTTCCTCTGGCCAACGTTCCCCAAGTCACACTTCTCGTGTGTATGAAAGGACAGACCGGGCTGTACACTGTGCAGAAAAACGAGTGAGGTGGAAACCAGGCTGTGCCCTGTGGGGCCGAGAGAAGTCCAGGCCTGGGGCGGTGTCTGTCCTCCAGGCTCACGGTTTTCTGAGCCGCCTGTTCCGAGGGGAGTGCTGCTTTCTAAAGCAGGCGTTCAAAAACCCCAACGCCCGGGCATCAAGCCGAGGCTGGTGCAGAGTGACCTTGCAGGACCGAACAGAATGCCCTGTGGGGTTTCTGAGCATCTTAAATCTTTCCAGGAACAGACAGCCTCTCTTTCCCCCGGAGAGTGGCTGGTGGGTTCCCACCCTTGACCTTGTGGTTAGCAACTCAGCACCTAACCCCCGGTGCCACCAGGTCTCCTCTAGACATGCAGAGGCTTCAGAATCAAGCCCTCGCTGGCACCGAAGGCAGCTCGGTTTGACTTTCAGAAATGCAGGTGGATTCCCAGGTCTGGCATGTTTCAAAACAGCTGGCAGGAAGCAGGCTGCTTTCCTGGGGCCTTCCACGTTGGTTTGGCTTCTGTTATGGCAATGTGTTGTAAAGCTGTAATGTTTCCCATGTGGCTTGCTTGATTAGACGGCATCCTAGACGTGAACATCATCCGGATGACAGATGTCCCAGTGCCGGTGCCACAGCCTGAAAACTCGCTGATGGACTTTGTTGTGACATGCCAAGGGAGGTGAGTGCACGTCTCAGCCCGCATGCCCCTGGCAGAGCAAAGCCCCTCCTAAGAGGATTTAAGCTCCTGATTCATCAGCAATACTTCAACAGAACAGGTCAATGGAAGACTTCCAAAGACCCCAGGAGGTGCTAGCATGTATTTATTTTGCTGGAACTAAATATGCCCATGACCTTTAAATGTTAAGGGGCCCTGGTGGAATAGTGGTTACATATCCAGCTAACTGCAAAGTCAGCAGTTTGAAATCACTAGCCCCTCTGTGGGAGAAAGATAGGGCTTTCTACTCCCATAAAGAGTTAGTTACAGTCTTGGAACCTCACAAGGGCAGGTCTTTTTTTTCTCTCCAATCATTTTATTGAGCTCTTACAGATCCCGTAACATTCCATAATTCAATTAGATCAGGGATAACTGTACAATTGGTACCACAATCAGTTTCAAACGTTTTCTTTCTTCTTGAACTCTTGGATACCAGCTCCCCGCGGGGCAGTTCTACCCTCTCCTGTAGGGTCACTGTGTAGACATGAGCTTGATGGCAGTGAGCGTTTGGGCTTTTAACCATTGAGGGGACTAATGGTTATTGTACTTGCTTGAAAACGCATGATGCTGTGAGCAGTTTTCTTCCAGGAGCACCGTGAGTCCTCACCACCATCCTGTGAGAGTCCTCGGGCCACAGAGGTGGCCCCTGAGACACAGACCCTGCCCACAGATACCACGTGGGTCCCCAGCGGGCCCAGCTGACTCCTCCTAAGGGAACAGGAACCGCTTGTGCACTAGCGTCAGTAGCCACACCCGATCCTTCTACCCCTTCAGGATTTACAGAGCTGTGATTTCGTGTCATTTTATTTCGCCATGTCTATAACAAGGAATCACTGGGTGGGATAAACGGTTACTGTGGTCAACTACTAACCAAAACGGTGAGGTCAAATCACCCAGAGACACATGAGGGAGAGCCCCGATGCTCTCCTTCCTCCCCAAAATCAGTGACGGAACACCCTAAGGAGCACCATTCTTTCTCACAGACACAGGCTTGCCAGGAATCAAATGAACCCAAGGGCAGTTTTTTTTTACATATCAAATATGTCATACAAATCTATTCCCATATAAATAACAAAAGCAATCACCGAATTAGATATACATCAGCAAACTAACTCATTTTCATATAATATGCAAATTAACGACAATCTGTGACTATGAGGAGCCACAAAAAGTTCGTGGGAAAGTTCCATTATCCTTTTTGCCTCTTGTTACCTATTCCTTCCTTTGTTCCCACAAACTTTTTGAGACCACCCCCCTTGTCTATATAAACTAATCCAAATAATGGGACAGTATACCAGTGTGACCGCTGAGATAGAAAGGCAAACAGGAGACGTGCCCAGGCGGGAGAGGAGCCGCAGGAGGGCAGCCAATGGGGCTGACAGATGACCACGTGCCCGCCTTGCTGTGAGGGACCAGGGTCTGGGAGACTGTTATAACCCCAGACCCTCGTGACGTCCAAATCCGAGCTCATCTGTCCATTAGGAAGTCTGACCAGGAGTGAAGCAGTGGGTAAGGCAGTCAGTCATGTCCTGCTTAGTGTGGTGACAATGGGCAGTTGAATTCAACAGCCTGTATGCAAACCCCAGCTCCGCTGCTGGGGGCTCGTTCCTTGCCCTCCCCGAGCTGCTTTGTCCCCTGTCAAACTGGAACAATAATGCTTCCCCCAGGAGGTCATTAAGAGGAATAAACAGGATCCTGTAATATAGTTAAATGCGGTGCTTAATCAAAACCGAACCCATGGCCATAGAGTTAATTCTGAGAGCGCCTATGTAGGTGGGAAGACCATAAATCTGTATGTGAGCACATAGCCTTGTCTTTCTCCCATAGAGTGGCTGCTGGGTTTGAACTGTCTGCCTTGCGGTTGGCAGCCCAACGCCCAGCCTACAGCACCACAAATGCTTCCAAAACCAACAAGCTCACCGGCAGTTGAGTGAATTCCAACAACTAGTGACCCCAGAGGGCAGACCAGGACCCTGTAGTCTCGGTTTCCGAGGCTAAGTTTTTACGGGAGTAGAAAGCTTTGTCTTCTGTGGAGTGGCTGGTATTTCAAACTGCTGACCTAGTGGTTAGCAGCCCAGTGTGTAACCCACTACACTACCATGCTACCACTGCTTAGCTAGCACATCATAAAGCCTAAACATTTGTTGCTACACCTCTCCAGGATCCCAAGCAGGGCAGCCTCAGGCATTTCATAATATCTTTGCCGAACACCTACCAAGTCACCTGCCTCTTTAGGGGATCTAGGGGGTCCACAGCTATGCACAGCTTCCAACAACCCCTTGCTGGAGGGAGAAACTTTTTACCTCCTCCACCCTCAGGACCCTTCCTGAAATTACAGAGGAAACAGTAGCTCACAAAGCTCATATGGTCAAGTAGATGTCGTACGGTTGGAGTATCAATAGCATAGACTCTCATTTCATAGAAATATGCCATTGTCCCGATTTACGCTCATATTTCATTCCCTTCTCCCCCGCCCCCCATGCCCTCCCCTCCATTTCCGCATCTCAGCACTCCCACCGAGGTCTGTACCGTCATTTCTGACCCCACCTGTCGGACCACACAGAGCACAGTCTGTGACCCGGTGGCTGTGGACAGTGACTGCTTGCTGACTGTGAGAAGAGCCTTCGATGGGGCGGGCACATACTGTCTGAACCTCACCCTGGGCGATGCCACCAGTCTGGCCCTGACGAGCACCCTCGTCTCTGTTCCTGGAAAAAGTGAGTTTATTGTGGGAGCTCCCTGTGCTGCAAGCCAGGTGTGTGTCTGATAGTAAAGCTCTCCAGGGCTCTGCTGTCAGTGTTTAATTTTATTTCACTGTAGAGTTCATGGGACTATTGCACATGAGGGTTTAATAACTGGCATTGAAATCGAACACATCAATCTAGGAGGTGATGAGAGGTCCAGGGAAATAGTGGCACGGGAAATGCCTTCAATGAAAAATAGTGGCTGTAACCATGCACGACTATTTACAGAACATGACCATGGTGTCTTTGAACAGATCTGCGCTTTGAGGGGAGATTGTAAAACTCAACATCGAAAATATCACAACGGTCTCCAATTAAGCTATAATGAAAGGGAGGCTGAGGTCAGGCTAATTACCTGGTTTTCATGAGAATTCACCAGGAGAAAGGTAGGAAGCCAAGAGGAGATCTGGGGAACCAAGCGGACGCCTGGCTCATTCTAATTGCTCTGTGCCCTCTTTTTCCCCTTCCCAGATTCCACCACACATAAAGCCTCAGGCCTTTACCGCCCCCAAAATCAATATTTTCCCTCCTTATGATTGACTGTGAGCGAAGCAAAATGTCAACAAAGCAAACTAAGGCATTTCAGTTTAAAATTCACATTTACTGGTGGTATGCACACTGGGGCTGTCCCCAGCAGTCCTACACGAGCGTCAGTCACACGTCACTTTGCTGCCAGGGGCTTGTTTGCTCCTAGAAGCAGCCCCACGTGGTAGAAGATCGGGGAAGACTCAATGGTGTGCACGCTGTAGCACTTATTTTTGCCCCTTGATTTGAATATGATCAGGCGCTAGCTGTCATGATTCAACACTTCTAACCACTGGGACTCGGAGCTAATCTCACGAAGAAAAATGTATACAAAAATATACAAAGAGGCTTCGGAAAATTTAGAGAAAAATGGAATTGAAGGAGAATAGAATTTTTCCATGAATTTTTTGAAGCTTCTTCATATTTACCCATTAGTTATATCAAAGGCAGGAACAAGTTGAGTACTCGTACATAGAGCAATTAGTATTAATATTTTTAGTAAACATTTAATTGGGTTTTCAGTGAACATTTCCACAATAATTTAGGTTCTAATTCAACACGAATTCTTCAGTGACGTTAATTACATTCTTCACAATGTATGGACTCTCTCACTCACGGAATCATAAATCAAGTCCAACTCATAGCGGCCCTATAGGACAGGGTAGAACTGCCCCTGTGAGTTTCTGAGATTGCAACTGTTTATGGGAGGTGAAAAGTGCCATCTTCCTCCCAAGGAGTGGTTGGTGGTTTTGAACTGTGGACCTTGCAGTTAGCAGCCCAAATGTGTAACCACTACCTTACGAGGGCTCCCCACGGTGCATAAACAGCCTCATGTTTTCCACTCTGGTTGTTCTATTTATGTCAGTCTAGTTCTGGACCCTCTTACCGCTCCACCTTTGTCTTGAAATCATTGTTGATCATTTGGTCTCACATAGGTGACTTTTTAAAAAAGTTTTATTGGCACTTCATCCACAATCATATCAAGAAGAGTTGTACAAACATCACCACAATCAATTCTAGACCATTTTCTTCTTCCACGTACTCGTTGTCATTCATGTAATTGTTTTTAATTGTGGCAACATATACACGACGAAGCATTCTCCAGTCCAAGAACTTCTACGTGTCCAATCAAGTGCATCGATGAGCTGTCCTCCTGTGTTGTACAGCCATGATTGATTCCCTCTCCAGTTATTCCACCGGCAACAACTCCCCCTCCTTCACGCCTGGGAACCACTGGTCCAGTTGGTTTCTTTTTATTTTTTTAGGAGTAGTTCTCTTGAGAGAGTGTTCACATATCCTAGAGCCCTAAAGAGCTTGACTACTAGACACTCCATAGTTTAAAACCGCCTTTAACAAGAGCTCCAGTTACACCGTCACAGTCAGTTCGAAGGTAGGCGACATTTTAAAGGAGGATGGGCACTACGTATTATTTTTCAGCCAGTTTATCCTTTAGCTGCAAGTAAAATTCAAGGTGCAGATTTTGGAGAAGAACCAAGATGGAGGCCAAGAAGAACCTCTGCCTGCTGGAGGGTGGGGTGGATGGGACGTGGGCTGAGAGCTGGGACCAAGGGCAGAACTCAGTGAGGCCGCTTGGAACTTCTGCGGTCCGGTGACCGTGGATCTTCAAAGCAGCCACCTCCGTGAGCTGCTGTGGTGGTCACTGGGCTGCCACTGCCCACTGGTTTTTCAGAATTACCTTTCGAATCATAGCCCATGCCACGGACCCTCCCCAGTGCCGGCAAACTGTCTTCTCCCGGCTGGATTCGATGTTGCAATGATTGCTTTCCTTCCATTGGAACAGCGAGTGGTGTTTTATATGTGACCCGGGCCACGTTGCCACCAAAGGAAGAACTCTGACTACTGGGGGTGGGGGGAGGGGGGTGTTGTGACTTGATCACTTTAGGCAGATGGTGAACATGCTCAGGTGCTAACCAACAGCTGCAGGTTCTACACCACCCAAAGACGCCTTGAGAGAAAAGTCTCAAAGGCAAAACTCATGCCCATCACCGCATCGACCGCAGAAGTGGCCCCTGTGGGCTGCTTCCTGAAAATCAGCCATTGAAAACGCCATGGGGCAAAAAAGTAAAAAAAAAAAAAGAAAACTCTATGGGGCACAGTCTATTGTGACCCACGTGGCACGACCCCAAACCAGGGTCCGCACGAAAGCATCTGGTTGGGCTCCTGTTAGGTTTGGGCTTTATTCTATGTTCAAGGGTGCCATTGGTAGGTTTTCAGCATTCTCTGACCACTGGGGGGAGAGAGACTCCTTGGAGGGGAAGAGCAGAAGCAAGTCGATAGACCACGGGGAGGGCCTCCCGGGAGTCAGATGTTGGCAGCTGAGACTCCGTGTGTAGCTGAAGGGCTGGAAGAAAATCGGATAGACTCTGGTTACAGTTTGGTGTAGCCTGGCTTGTGCTAGATCCGGGAGTGCAAAATCGGACAGGATCCCTGCCTTTGTGGCAGTCAGAGCTTAGTAGGAGAGAATTTGTGTGTTCAGAACTCATTGACACACAATGTGACGAAGGCAAGTGGTAGAGGGACAGCTGGAGTGGTGACCCAAAGGGAGGTGGGTGTCACAAAGAGGTGGGCACTTGAAGGAAGTTAGGGGAAGGACATTCCGGGCAGGTGAGAGATGACAGGGGTGAGAGAGTGACGGGGTGGGGAAGCACCAAGCTGGAAAGCAGGGGCAGGTGAGGCAGGGAGCCCCTCAGCACCTGGCTGCTGCTGAGCCCTGGACAGGCCTCTCCAGGAGGTGACATGGGTCTCTGAGCCCTTCACACAGTGTTTCAGACTCACGGGCTCACTCCCTCAATGGGAGATCAGCTGGCCCACGGACCATGTGCTGGGTAACAGAAAAGTACACTGACACCACCGAGGGAGCCACGTGGCTTCTGCAATGGTGCCCTCCATCTGCGTAAGGGGGCGCCAGGCAGCAGGACCCTGCGGGGCAGAGGTAACTAACCTGTCTGCGCTTCTGTTTGAAGGCCCAGCTTCCCCCTTGAGAATGGCGAATGGGGTCCTGATCTCTGTTGGCTGCTTGGTGATATTTGTCATTGTGGCCACCCTCGTGATGTACAAGTAAGTTTCTGGTTCTAACATCTGAAATCACTCATCTGTTGTTATACAGATAGCACATTTATGCCCAGACATTCCATTCCATTTATTTATGACTTTTCTTTTAAGCATCGTGTGTGTGGGAAGAGACTCTATTGAATGATCAATACCTAACTGGCCTATTTAGCCTATTTATTTTGCTATACTCTGTGTGTATGTGTGTGTAGTATTTTAATCCTAAAAATACTACAAGACATCAATCACCTGACAAAACTGTGCCTATGCCATGTTTACGATATACGTCTCAAATTCTAGTAAGCAGGCCCATGTTTTGCATGCAGATGAGAATATATTTTCAAAAGTGTCCCCACTGTCCTATAAAAGCACAGCTGAGGGTCAGTGGAATTCATCCTTGTTTGTACATGGTATACAAAATGTTATACAAAGCAACATGTTCCACATGAAGCTTCTCTACTAACGGCCCAACTTCTTGCTTTCAGAAAATACAGAGAATACAAACCCATAGAAAACATTCACGGGGAAGGAGGCAAAGGTACAGGCCTGGGTGCTCTCGTCACCCATGCCAAGGCCGCCCTGTCCCGCAGAAGCCTGGAGAGAGATCCACTGCTCCAGAACCAGCCGGGAAAGGTTTAAATCTGCAGCCTCCTGTCTGACCAGCGGGGGCGCACTCTTCTGGGTCATTGATGCGAGCGGCGCTGGAAGCGGGGTGTCTATTAACTTTTCTTCCCCGGGGGTTATGTGTAGATGTCAGGGCCTAGGCAAGCACTAGCGGCGCCGCGCAGGTTGTACAGAGGATGAGACCACGGGCAGCTCTTCTTTTCATTACTCTGCCTTTTATTGTGATGCGCCCGGTGTGTAGGAGGGAGACGGTCCTAGTCCTTAGAGTCGGGTCTAGGTTCACTGGCTGGAGAGGCCAGAACTTTCCTAGCTTTCCATGTACCCATTTGCGTGAGACCAAGGTATTCCTGGCCACAATATTCCAGGCCAACTTGGTCCTGTTTCCATGAACACGCCAAGTGCCCCACTGACTGACTCAAATCATTGGTGTGATATGCGTATGCAAACCAAAATAAAAACACCGAAGCAAACAAATTAATAAAAACACAATAAATAGATGAGACATTTGGGTTACAACCTGCCCAGCCAGGCTTTGTGAAGAAATGGTATTATTCAATCATTTATTTCCCAAACAGTTCCATAGCACGTTAAAATATATTTTATGCTTTCTTTTTTAAAAAAAACCAGTTAATTGGCACTTAATCCACAAATCACACAATTCAGTCATTCAATAATATCGATAATTATACAGTCATCACCATCAATTTCAGAACATTTTCCCCAGGATTAAATCGCCTTTAAAATAAGTTGTAGAATCACATTGGGTACTAGTGCTCCCTCTCCCTCCTAAATTCACTGTTTACTCCCCAAATCCCCACACCCTCCCCGCTTCCCCTCCCCTTACCCATACTTCCCCTACAAACCCCCCATTAATCAGTTATTCTCTCTGTGCAGCCACTCCTTCTGCACTTTCTTACATAGCAGGCTTTGTGTCAAGTACCTGGTCTATGGCCATGGAGAGAGAAATATACTCTTGTGTAGATCTCTGAATTTCGGTGTATATATTTGAAATCCTCTATTACGATTTTCCCGAAGAGGAGTTCTTAGGCTTTCCTACCAGTTTCTATAGTTGAAAAATAGAGGAATTTGGTAAGAAGTGTTTCTCCCCTAATATGTCACAGAAACCATCTGCTATCGATCGAAGATGACACTCTCCTTCTCGCCTTTACAAAAAATAAATTGTAAAAAAGGACAAGACGGTACTGTAATTATTTTTCAGTTTGTTTGCTTTTCCATTTTCTTTATACATTTTGACACCTAAAAAATTGTTTAACACTGCCCTACAGGGCACTGATAATCTCCTAAGTATTTTCAAATGCATGCATACAGTATGCAACACTTCATTTAAATGTTCAGCGGGTGTGCAAATGACCTGGGGTGATAGCGCACCCACTCTCGCTTCCCTAAGGGGTCAGCCCCGCCTTCCCCACCCATCCTTCTGGACCCCGTTCTGACCCCAGCCCTTCCTTCCACGGAGCTCTGTTCTGATGCTGGCCTTAGGAATGCACTGCAATGGGTACACAGAAGTCACAAGAGAAGATCATCACTTCAGGGGGCTTTGTTAGGGGAGTTGACAGATTACCACAAGCCAGGATGAGTCAACAGTAACCCCTCTCCTCAGCCAGCAGCAACGTACGTCTCCCTTGGGTCCTGAGTCCTCAGCCACGTGGCCCCTTGGCCTCGGCCTCTGTGGGCCCAGAAGCCCACCTGTTGCTCTGCCTCACACTCCCAGAAACCTGACGCTGTTCCTCTCTTCTGTCTCATGGCTTCCTTCCCTTGGCCTCTGGTCTCACTCCACCTGGCACCTTTACCCTGCCCACAAGACTCCGTGCCCCAGCCTCTGTGGCCTGTGTCCACTTCAGACAGATCCGGAATGTGCTTTTCTTCCGGGGTCTGTACTCTTGCCTCAAAGAATGCTCGTTCTTCTAGCCAGGGGAGTGGTAACTAAACCTAAAAACAACCAATCACCACCCCCCATGAGTGTCACCTGAGCCCTGTTTGCATCGTTGCCCCCTCTCCCAATCATTTGGGGGAGTTAGAGACCCAGGTGCAAGAGCCAGATGAAGAAACTTCACTCTACCACAGTTTGCAAATGTATAGTGTGCCGGCCAATCGACAGTAAGAGCTACTTTGTGAACACTCTTTACAGACCCTTCAAATAGCCAGTATTATATTACAAATAAACGTGGAGGCAATTATTCTGACCAGCTGTCCTATAAATGGCCAGATAGTAAGTACTTTGGAGTCTGTGGGCCGTGTGATCTCTGAAATACTCAGCTGTCATTGCAGCATGGAAGCAGCCTTAGACAACATGAATGCAGGGGCCCGGCTGTGTTCAGTACAACTGTATTTACAAAATGGAGGTGGGCCAACCCCTATTCCACACCATTCACTGCCCTTGAGTCGATTTTGATTTACGGCAACCCTAGACGACAAGGTAGAACTGCCCCTGTAGGTTTCTGAGACTGCAACTCTTTATGGGAGTAGAAAGCCTCATCTTTCTCCCAAAGAGCAGCTGGTCTCTGGTCTCACTCCACCTGGCTCCTTTACCCTGCCCCCGAGACTCAAACCGCTGACCTTGGGACTAGCAACCCAACCTGTAACCACTACGTCACCAGGGCTCCTTCTGTTCTAACGGAGTCTAGACACAATGAATAAATGCAATTCGAAAACCTAGACTGGACCCTGGCTTGGGGAGAGAAAAAAAAAAGTCTGTGGAAGACATTCTTGGAAGAACTAGAAGGATTTAAATCCTGGATACCAGATAAGGAACCCCAGTGAAGATGTGTGTTCGCCAGTGTGAGTTAGGTTGATTTTGCCAACCTGGCCAACAGGAACATGTGGGATTAATCAGGTTGCAATTTGATTGGAATGCAAAGAGATAAATGGATCTGCAAGGCCCGCCCCCAGCTCGCTTGCTCTCTGGTGACCAGACCAGCGTGTGGAGGCTTTAGCTAGTCCTCTGCCTCAACTTGTAAGCTAGACTCCCTGTGGGACTGCCAACCAGTGGATTGTGTCGCTAGAGCTGAGGTTCCTTCGAGACCTGCTTCTCCATGCTGTTGGTATATACAGCGCTTGAACTTGAGGTTGGTAAATCCCGTCGTCTTGCGTGGCTGGAGTTCGATAGCCCAGCTGGGCCTGCTTCCCTCGGCTCCTGAGCTGCCGACTGTTGGTGACCTGCCCTGCTGTTTGCTGCCTGTGGCAGACTGCCTGGATTGCCTGAGGGAAGTCTCAGTTGTCTGTTTCCTTGACCGTGGACCCAGCAGCCCTGGTGAGTTGAAGGATTTTCAGTATATTAATTGTTCCACAGGAGGGAGTTGAAATGAGCCCTCTGAACTGCGTGGACTACTTAGCTGTTATATTCCTTTGGGTTGTGTAAGTCGATCCACACACATATATATATGTGGGCTATATATTAGATATATATAATTGCAAGTGCCCTAGCTTTTTTCTCTAGAGAACCCTGCCTAACACAGCCATTAAGCTGATAATCACAGTCAGCAGTTCAACCCACTCACTAATCGCTCCACGAGGGAAAGAAAGGCTGCTCCGGTGAAGCTGGAGAGTCTCATACCCTGCAGTGAGTCACCAGGAGTCGGAGTTGATTAGTAGCTGTGGGTTTGGGTCTGTGTAGCAGATGGTATTGAAGAATGGTTCACTTTCGTATGGGTGATGGTAGCATTGCGGTGGCCCGCGGCAGCCTACTTCTTGTAGTTCCTTTTGTCTAGGGACCAAAAGCAAGCCATTTGCTCTGAAAGTATCTCCAAAGAGCCCTGCAGTTGAAGGACATGAATTGTGATATTTCTCCCCGGTGATAGCATGACTGCGGTTCAGAGCTTCTCAACACCTCTCAATCTCTCCCCTGCCCCGCCCCAGGGAACGTTTGAGTGGCTGGAGACAGTTTGGGGGGTTACAACAGGATGCTGATAGATGTCCCACAAGGTACAACACACCCCGCTGCCACCCAAACCATGGCCCGGCCGGAGGTGGAAGCAGCCATGCTGTAGAGCAGTGGGTCTCCACCTTCCTCAGGCCGCAACCCTTTCATACAGGTCCTCGTGGGGTGGTGACCCCCAACCATCACATTATTTTCGTTGCTACTTCATCTCTGTCATTTTGTTACTGTTATGAGTCGTCATGTAAACATCTGATATGCAGGATGTATTTTTATTGTTACAAATGGAGCATAATTAAAGCATAGTGATTAATCACACAAATGATATGTAATTATAGATTGGGAAATATTTATTTCTAATGAGAAACAAGTGAACTTCTGTCTTGAAGCACGGTGTAGCACGGGTAACGGTCTTCACGCCGGGTACTCGTAGGTGGGCGTATCTGCATGTGGGCGGACCCGCCTGGAGACGATAGAGCAGCGGTGTCTCGGTTCCTAAGACCATCGGAAATATGTGTTTTCTGATGGTCTTAGACAACCCCAAAGGGGTCGCGATCCACAGGTTGAGAACCGCTGCTCTAGATCAATGGAAGGCCTAAAGACAGCAATGTGAAGAGGAGTCGTCATGTTTGGGATGACTAGCAAGCCAGGTCACTAAGACCGAAAGCAAAGTCACGTGAGGTCTCCGTGGCCAAGCTGTGTTCCTGCGTTCTAGTTCCATCCTCTCACCGTTGTTACCGAGACTCGCAGCACTCTTCTATAGAACTCTCTGGGACGACGGGAAGGATTTACAAATCTGTGCTGTCCAGAATAGCAGCTAATAACCAGATGGGGCTCTTGGAGTTGACCAGTCTGACGGAGGAACTGAATTGTTTAATTTATTAGCTTTAAATGTGAACAACCACACGGGGTGACCATACTGCAAGGCACAGGTCTACAGGAGCTGCGGTTGGGTGCCGACTCACAGCGACCCGCTCCCTGTACGCCGGAAGGGAGCATTGCCAGTCCTGCACCGCCCTTACAGTGCTTATCGTTGAGCCCATGCCGCAGTCACTGTGGTAATCCAGCTCATGGAGGGTCTTCCTCTGGCCGCTGACTCTTACCAACATGATGGCCTTTTCCCAGGACTGCTCGCTCCTGGGAGCGTGTGCAAAGTACCTGAGCTGAAGTCGCACCTTCCTTCCTTCCAATGCCGTTCTGGGTGTCCTTTGTCCAAATGGATTTGCTTGTTCTTCTGGCAGTCCATGGTCCTTCCAATGTTTTTTCCAACCCCATCATTCAAATGCATCCATTTTTCTTTGGTCTTCTTTATTCTTTCTCCAACTTTCACATGTAGATGAGGCTATTGAAAATACCGCGACTTCCCTCTGACCATTGATCAGGGACGTGAGTAATCTTACCTTCAGACAGAGCGCACTGGAAAGGGGATTTCTACAGAAATAGGTTGGAATTGAACATGTTATCATTTGCCTTGCCTTTTGACCCATTTTTAGTTTGTTCTAGTTCCTATTCTGCTTTCTCTTGGGTTGAGACCTTTCTGTGTTTTGTTTTCTTTATATGAAATCCAGGACAGGTAAGTCTACAGAAATAGTAACTAGATTAATATTGCTTTGGCTACAACAGAGAGGTTGGGAAGGAATAGTAGGGACCTCATAATAAAACGTACAAGAATGGAGAAAATGTTCTACAATTGATTGTGGTGATGACTGCACAGCTCTTTTTATAATTTAAACCATTGAATTGTTAGGGATGTGTGGCAGTTACATAATCTCCTGTCAACTTGAGCAACAGGGTGGAGTCTAGCCTATCAATCAGGTCACAGCTTGATGACCTCATTTGGAGGTACAACGGAGATAAAGAGCTCACTGGAGACCAGATCCAGTCTCTCGTTTCCTTCCTTTTCCTGCTGTTGAGACACTCAGAGAGCTGGAGGAGACCTGTGGAGACCTGCATCAGCATTGAGATGCTTCCACCTCCACTGGATCCACAAGACTTTCTACCCACTGACCTGTGATCTTCCTGAATTCGGCATCATTACATGTGATGCATGAGTCTAAAGAGGAACTTATGAACTAATATTGGACATATGGGTTAATATCGGACTTAAGGACTTGAGCTAGACTGGGCTGGGATGTTTTCTCAATATACAACTGCTTTTTTATAGAGAGCTCTTTCTTATCCACTTATGAGTGTCTGTGAATTTGTCTCTCTAGTCCACTTGGACTAACACAGGTTGTGAATTACATGTCAATAAAACTGTTTTAGCAAGAAAGCATGAGCCGGACAGGGGGGGGGGGGGAAATAAACCTCATGGCTGGGTCAGGTATACCTTAGTCCTAAAAGTAACATCACTGTAGAGCAGTCTTGTGCCAGTGCAACATGTTTGATTTCTTGAGTGCTGCCGCCATGAGCGTTGATTGTAGATCTAAAACATACAAGTTTTTGACAAGGCCAGCCTTTCCTCCATTTATCATGGTGTTAGCTATTGGTCTACTTGTGAGGGTTTGGGTTTTGGTTACATGAAGTTGCGGTCTACACTCAAGGCTGCAATCTTTGATTATCATCGACAAGTGCTTCAAAAGCGGTGGTCCTCCACCTGTCAAGTGCCGTAGAATCGCCTGGGAGGTTTGTTAAGACCCAAATGGCTCTGAGTCCCACCCCCGAGTTTCTATTTCAGTCTTCTAGGGAAAATGGCCCCTCATTAGGATTTCCCAGGTGATCCTAAGGAATGAACTGATTCCAACACAGAAATGACAGTCTTGAGATCTGCTCTTCCCTTCTCAGACCAGCAGGGGGTAGCAGACCACAGCAAATGCAGTCAGTCACCCAGGAAGAAAAAGTCACCGCCAGCGAGTGGCTTTGAACTCATCCCCAACCTCACTGCCATCGAGGCAATTCTGACTCAGTGGCTCTGTAAGAGAGCAGAACTGGCCATCCGGGTTTCCAAGACTAACTCTTTAGCGGAGCCGAGCGCCTCATCTTTCTCCCAAGGAGCTGTTGGTGGTTTCAAAGTGCTGATCTTTCTGGTTAGCAGCCCAATTCGTAAGCCATCACACCACCTAACTCATCTTGACCCTACGTACTATGTTTCCAAGGCTGTGAACTCATTTGGGAGCTTCAACAGTCTTCCTCAGGGCGGCTGGTGGGTTTGAACTGCTGACCTTGCAGTTAGCTTACTCTACATCACCATCAGGACTCCTTTACTGGACAGAAACCGGTCAGAATCGGAGTTTTATTCCCACTGCAGTTATACTAAATCATAATCCTTATTTTAACAAGAGTCACCTGGGGAATTTATTAGAATCACTTGGGATCTTGTTAAACTAGATTCTGGTTCAGTTTAGATCAGGTGGAAATGTAAATTCTCAGCAAGGGGAGGGGCTGGAATTGACCCGTTCAAGGCCGTGGCCAAACTCCATCAAACCTCCCTCAATCTCTACCTACCAGGTGGCAAGAGGGCTGAAATGGTGAATTTTTTAGACACGTTCTCCTTGTGCCCTTGGCAACAAGTCATTTAGCTTCTGCTGGACCCCTATCTGTAAGATGCATAAAATAACCTCTTCGACAGTGCAATGACTTGACTAATGTTTGCTGAGAATTAGGACTTGCAAAGAAAATTAAAATGTGTAAGTTATAAATTATTCCGGGAACTTTTCATTCATAGGACTTTTTGTAAATGTCTGCACTTTGAACATTTCTGACTCATTCGCAAACATCCAATGCCCTTGTCAAATTTTCAATGGCATAACAACTTAGAGAGCAATTCATTAGATCTAGAAAGTATAGCAGCTGCAAACCCAGCAGGCAACCATCTTTCTGTGGAGCTTCTATAGAGGGAATCCATGAAGGTTACTGCAGTTTTTCATTCTCCAAAGACCAAGTTCAATGGATTGGTCCCAATAGGTAGAATCACTCACTCATTCACTGCCATGGAGTCGATGCTGCCTCATAGCAACTCTACAGGACAGGGTAGAACTGGCCCTGTGTGTTCCCTAGACTGTCTCTCCTTACGGGAGTAGAAAGCCTCATCTTTCTCCTGAGGACTGGGCTGGTGGTTTAGAACTGGTGACCTTGCAGATCACAGCCCAACGCATAACCACTATGGCACCAGGGTTCCTTAGTGAGTTCCTGCTAGTGCTGAGATGCTTGTTCGTTCACTAACTCAGCTTTCCTCCTGCAGTCGGCATCATTGCCTCTGTTTTGTGAGGTGGAGGACTTTG